GAAGAAAAAAAACATTAAAATGCAAACAAATTATTAGAATATAAAATCCTAAGTTATCATCTCATAATTTATTTTCATTTAAAAATTTTCTTTTCAGTATTTGAAACTTCTTATTCTAGAATTGTCAGAACTCATTATTTCTGCAATTCATAATGAAGGAGAATGTTCTTCCAGGGTATAGTCCATTTTTAAGTAATCAATATTAAGGGGAGATGATGTAATTTCTTCATTTTAAGGTTATTTAACACACTACATATGTAGTTACCTATAGGGCCACATTGTGGGCATCTTATTATTTCCTTTGGTGGGGTACACTATTACCCGGTAATATAATATGTGGTCCAGTTTGAATATTAAGGGGATATATGGGGCCATGTTGTAATACCTAATAATGACTACGAATTTTCTCATTTTAACGCTATTGTCTAGATACATACATAGTAAACTATAGGGCCACATTGTGGAGCCCCTAATGGGCCTATAAATATTTCCTCTGGTAGGGTGCATTAATACCCGGTAATGTAATTTGTGGTTTATGTTGCGAAGTCGAACTTTGAATTTTATGATCCCTATTGGACGGCGACTCGCAAGAAGAAGTGTCTTGCGTGTCCTGTAATTTCTTTTTTCTTGTAACATTTGTGACCCATCCTCTTAGATCGAATTTTCCTTTTGTCATCAAGAGAGAGGCTTCGTGAATAAATTTTTCGACATCTTTTGCTGGTGAGGCAATTGTCCACATAAAATGAATTGCAAGCTCTTTCTGAAACTCTCCGGTTTGATTCTGTAAATGATGTTGAAACTTAGCATTGAGCAGAAATGGACTGCACGTGAGACAAGACTCTTCTGTGTCTCCAGGTTATAATTTCATCTCTATCCCACCATAAGAACTTCAAATATTTCCTATCATCTTCAGATATTCCAATTTGTAAAAATGCTTTTCTTATATCTGATGTTATCCCATAGAAATACTTCCTGAACTGAATGAGCATCTTTGGAAGACGCATCAAATACGGGTCTCGGTTTTGTAGTTTGGCTCGATTCTTTTATGGCTGCTTGATGTGTTAAATAATAGTGACTTCCTGGCTCTTCACAATTTTCATCTATTTCAATGATGCCTTCTTGAAGCCATTATATTCTTCAAATTTTCCAGTTCTTTTTAATCTTTTTGTTAGCTTCACCAGTCTACTTTCCGCATGTTGGCGATTATTGCTTAAGATATGATCCTTCCATGGTAAACTAACCTCATATCTACCACTTTCATCTGTGCGTCAAAAAAATTCTAAAATTTCTTCATTTTTGGTGTTTTAGCTTCGGCTGGATATCTTATTCCAAAGGTCTTCAATGGTGGGTTGGCAGAATAAGCTCAAAATAGTGTTTGTTTTTTCTTCTCTATGTTGTTGACCCATTATTATTCTTTTGACATTATCATCGCCAATAAGCACCACGTCTCCTTCTTTTAAATTGTTATTTGATTCTTTACCACGCTGTACAAGTTGAGCCTTCTTTCTCTTTCTCTTCTTCTTCANGACGAACAAATAATTTCCTGCAATTATAAATTAAAAAAATATTTACAATCCAATAGAAATGTACTAGAAATAAAAGATAGAATTTTTTGTAAATTTATTTTTTCATTTCTCAAGGTATTAATTCAATGAACAATTCATAATCATTCACTTTGATTTTGATAGGAATTATGCATCAAAAATTAATAAAATAAACATCTTGAAAGAAAATTGCTTGATTTCTTAGATGTCAAATAATAGTTTTTCGGTTTTATAAAGCATTTAACAAACAAAGGAAAACATTAAAAATAAGTTATAAGTAGTTAGGCATAATGCAGATCTTTTATTTCTATTTTATAAAAATAGATGGCGCCACTCATAAAAATGTTAAATTTAACAAAAATAACTTTTCCCATAAAAATTAAATACAAAATTTTTCTTAAAATAACTAAACTAGTTGCTTACCAGCAAACAAATCTTTGTCTTGGTTTCAAAGCTTTAGAATTCCATTTTGTATTTGTAAGTTTCCCAAATTCCTTTACCCACTTGTTGCAATCTTTTAAATTTAGAACATTGTTCCTAAGGGTAATAATATTTGATGAAGTAGTTTCTATTTCATTGTTAAATGAAGAAGGCAGTTTCTGTGGCACGCAAATATTTCTGTGTCTCCAGGTTATAATTTCATCTCTATCCCACCATAAGAACTTCAAATATTTCCTATCATCTTCAGATATTCCAATTTGTAAAAATGCTTTTCTTATATCTGATGTTATCCCATAGAAATACTTCCTGAACTGAATGAGCATCTTTGGAAGACGCATCAAATACGGGTCTCAGTTTTGTAGTTTGGCTCGATTCTTTTATGGCTGCTTGATGTGTTAAATAGTGACTTCCTGGCTCTTCACAATTTTCATCTATTTCAATGATGCCTTCTTGAAGCCATTGTACTTTATTATATTCTTCAAATTTTCCAGTTCTTTTTAATCTTTTTGTTAGCATCACCAGTCTACTCTCCGCATGTTGGCGATTATTGCTCCTTCCATGGTAAACTAACCTCATATCTACCACTTTCATCTGTGCGAACAGTTTGTTCAAAAAATTCTTCTTCATTTTTGGTGTTTCGGCTGGATATCCTATTCCAATAGTCTCTCCAAAGGTCTTCAATGCTGGGCTGGCAGAATAAGCTCAAAATAGTGTTTGTTTTTTCTTCTCTATGTTGTTGACCCATTATTGTCCACCCAAGCAGAGTTTCAATAGCCATAATATTTTCATCCAATTTTACCCGCGAGAATTTGAGGCAATACATCCGCACCTAATAACACTTTAATTTCTGAAGGATTGTCCCCAACGTCTGATAAGTTAATTGATTTTTGCTGTAGAATGGGATAAATGTTATGATTCTTTAATCTCGGTACGAAATTGCATATCTTTGTCTGGGCTAACATTGGACATGTAATTTTGAATTGACCATCTAGGGATTTTATATTAACATCAAAGACACTGTGTTTTTCCTGACCAGTTTCTATTCCGCCAAACAATGCTTGGTTTAAAGTTTCTTCTCCAACTATTGACAAATTTAGCTTTTTTACCCCCTCTGTTTTTATGTATGACCTTTGGGAACCGGAATCAATCAAAACTCTTGCTAGTCTATCTGTTTTAACTATATCCTCAACCTTTACTATCAGTGTTTGCATCAACGTTTCACCCTTTTGTTGATTAACAAGAGCTTTAGAACTACTGCGATTTTCATCATTTTTTTCCTTTAGTACTTGACTTTGTTTGACCTTGGTTTTCACCATTTTTTATGTTCCAACACATTACTGTCAAACGTCTTCTATTACAAATTAAACATTTACCAGAACTTTTGCATTGTTGTTCTGGATGGCCGATTTTCAAACAACGGAAACATGCTCTTTTTTCTTTTTAAAACAGTCTTTTTATCGTTATAATTTAAATTGTGTAACTTGAAACATTCCACTGAGCTATGTGAATCCTTGTCACACCATATATATTTAAACTTTTTGAAATCACTCGTGTTATTCCTTGAATCACCAAAATATATACAAGCGGCAGTTGGTGGAACTACATCAAAACTTCCATGGCTACCGAATCCACTACGAGCTATTTGTAGGCGTTCCTCACTTTCAACTTCAATTCTGAGAAATTTCAATAATTTTGTAAGATTTTCTGTGCAGACTTTTGTTTCTCTGGATGATCGAGATCTCTCCCAAACCTTCAAAAGACCCTCTGGAAGAGCTGATTCCACTAATGGGTAAAACATGGCGCAATAAATATCATTTTTAACGCCAAGCGATTCAAGAGCTTGTAACTGTGTTTCCAATTTATCATACAATGTCGCCAATGTCATGTGACCTTTTTTGGTGGCCTGTGCCAACACTAATCTTAACAATTCTCTAATATAGATTTCGACCATTAGGTCATCTCTTGCGAATCTTGATTTTAGTTGTGCTTTTTGATAATTTTGGCTTGACGGTGGAAAACTATCTACCAGCTCTTTTGCTGGTGGCCCGAAAACCATTGCTTGAACCAAATATTGAAATTTATCATCATCATCGATGGTATTGTCCTCTTGTATTTTACGGAACTGTCCCCAAAATCCTAGCCAATTTTTTATTTCTCCATTAAATTTTTGTAGTTCTAACATTGGAAGCTTGTATTTTCTCTTAAGTTCCGCACTATTTTGTGAACTTGGTTCATTATTCACCAAGCGAAGATTAACAGTTTCTTTTAAGTACACATATCTGTCAATATATTCTTCATTGGCTTCAAAACATTTTTCATAATCATAGTTATTTTCTAGTTTTAATAAATTTTCAGAAATCTGAGTTTGCACATGGTTTAATCTTTCGAATTTATTAGTCAATTGTGATAATAAAATCTTTACGCGATCCACTTTAACATCCGTATTCGATAACTCTGTTTCTAAATTATTGGCAGTTAAAGTAAATCCTTGGCGCAATGGCTTTCTTTTATTTTTTAATTCTTCCATTCATGAAGTGAAATATTAATTAGTTTCTGATAGTTTTACTTACTTTCGTTTCTTTATTATGTTTGGCTCTTGAATATCACACAGACGCCACTTAATGTTGCGAAGTCAAACTTTGAATTTTATGAACCATATTGGACAATGACTCACACGAAAAAGAAAACAGGTTGTTGGAGACAAGAGCACATTTATTTATAGGACGAAGGCATTTTATGCATATAGTGGCACATAAGAAGAATAACTACTTAAAGACATCGTTTTCTTTTATACTTTTCGATTGTTTTTTCTATTTTTGTAATGTGTTGCCAGATTTCAACTAATTTATTACAAATAAAATATTTATTCATTTCTTATAAACAGTTTAGTTAATAAATTTTATCAAATTTCTTTAGGTCGCCAAGCAACTGAGAAAGATTTAGCAACAGAAAAGAAACATTGTTCTCTTTTTATCCTTATGTGAGTTTTTCAATGAAATGTTTTTTATTTTTCAGTCTCTGAAAATCCTGAAGAACTCTGATCTGAAACCATATGTGGTGTTTGTAGCACCCCCTTCCCTAGAGAAACTTCGCCAAAACCGCCTGAAAGCCGGAGACAATCCAAAGGATGAAGAGCTTAAAGACATCATCGAGAAAGCGAGGGAGATGGAAGAGAATTTTGGACATTATTTCGATATGGTCATCATCAATTCGGACACTGACAAAGCATTCAACGAACTCCTAAAAGAAATAAATACTCTAGAACGTGAACCACAGTGGGTGCCTCGATCGTGGCTACTCAACTACTCCGACTGATTTCTTTTCTTTTTTTTAAATTCACTGAAGTCAAAGTAAATATTCTTTTGGACAGCAGGGTTGCCACTCCACGGGGAATTTAAAAAGGAATTTTGAGTTTTTCTTTAAAAACTGGAAAAATACAGGAATTTTGTTTCTTATTTTCGTCTTTTAAAAAATGTTAACCCCTCAAAGTACTATCTGTGGGATATTTAAGGATGATATTTCAACTATATTAAACTATAGGGTGCTTAGCATTTTTAAAAAGTGCTTATTTTTCATTTTCACTTTTTAAAAGCCCTTAAAGGTGCTTTTTTTATTCAAGGTTTGTAAAAAGTGCTTAATTTCATATCTTTCGATTGATTTTTTCTTTGCTGTGTTGATCGTTGTTCTAAATTACGAAAAATGCATGATTTTCACAATTTTCTCTGCAATATTTATTAGAAACTGGTTATTTTATAATGATTATGTAAAGTCTTTGAAAATGTTTTAGTATTTTATTGATTTCATGTTTATAAATTAAGAACTTTAAATGATAGAAGAAAAAATGTTTATTGCTAGGTAGATCCTAATTATGAATTTTTTTATAGAAAGTGGTTAAAATGTATTTTATAAGTGCTTTGAAAGTACTTAAAAATTGCTTATTTTTTGTTTAAAAAATCTGGCTACTCACCCTGTACTACTTCATTTACTATAGCATTATTTGTTATAAGTATGTTCAGCTGTTCTGTTTTTCCTCAAGTTTTTTTAGAAAAAATATAGGAAATTTTGTTTCTTATTTTCATCTTTTAAAAAATGATGACCACTCAAAGTGGGATATTTAAGGAAGATATTTCAACTATACTAATCTATTTCATTTACTATAGCATTATTTGTTTTAAGTATGTTCCTTTCTTCTCCAAGTTTTTTCAGCAATTATGACTACTATATTTAGCCCGATACAGCTCAATACAAGAGCACAGTAATTGTTTCTCTTAATAAATTTGAGTGGCAACCTTGTCAAGTCAAAGTAAAAAAAAAACATTTTTGACAAAAGTAGGCTTTTGTTAAAATAGCAGAAAGTAAGTTTCTTTTGCTTTTATCAATGTTCCACACACAGGAGTGAGATTTACAGAACTTTTGGTCCATAGTTCGTCCTTATTTATTTGATGACATTTAGGAAAATATTCTTTTCGTAGTGTAATAATTAGAAGTAAGAATTTCACTTAAAAGAGTTCATAATTATTTAAAAATGATTGCTTGCTTTGTAACTACAGTTGAACCTCTCCTCACGCTAAACCACTGTGTTATTGCGTTTAAATAATTAAATCAAAACTTTAAAAGACCAGGTTATTTGACACAAATTGAGAAATTTTGATTTGATTTTTTTTAATATTGCATCTTTTTAACAGGAAAGGGAAAAAAATTATCATTTTTATTAATCATTCGAAAATTATATTCTGCAAAATTACTCTGAAATACATCTATATGTGAACGCTATTCTTTCAATACTTTGTTTATCGATGAATAATATAGATATCAGAGAGGAAGAATATTATGCAATGCTAAAAGAATTACATATTAAATCTTATTCGTAATTTTTTTTATCGTGTCCATGGCCAATTAAATTACCTTGTGTGCCTTCAAAACTGCATCTGCAAGCTCCAATACATCATTACTGTCGAGGATCTCATGAAGTTTTGAAGTCAGTGGCACCATACCACTGTCCATGGCGAAGGAGGGTTGCCAGAGCCTCAAAAGGTTGGACTTGTACCTGTTGGTCTGCCACCCACCCGAGAACTAGTGGAGGCATTCCTATATTCGCCACCTGGGGATGCGGTCTCTATGGGTTACAGGCTCCCCCGAGAGATTAATAATAAAACTTATTCGTAAATAAAACTTGTATTTAAGGCAAAATCAAATAAAGCCTTTACCACAAAGAAACTAATAAAATGGACCTTTCGAAATATGTGATGAAATTTCTTCAGTAGTTTAGAAAATTGATCAGTCTCACGTTAATATTTAAACATACAGTTGAACCTCATTAACACCTGTTGGGGTCTTTTGAGTCAGCAATCAAATATTGCTGTATTTTACTTGTTTATCATGAAATTTTCAAGCTGATAATCGGTTAACACGAAAGGAAACTGCACAGATAATAAGCATGTGAATAAAATCTCAATCATTTATTTTGAAGAATTTCTCTTGTCTTTTTTTGTTAGAAGTAGAAGATGGGCAAACAAATAAAATAGTTTAATAATGTAGTTAAAATGTTTAATCTTATTTTAATTTGTTTTGGTTCATAATAGTATTGTTTGCATACATGAGTGTAATACATAACATGTATTAATAATACGTAATAAATTGTTTTCGTGATGCATCAGATAAAACAAAATTCTGTTAGCCTGGAAAAATTATGATAGTCCTGCCGATCTAGGGCAGAATTCATCTAAATTTTTGCAATGACAATGGACACCTTCGGCCAATCAAAAGCCTGTATTTTTACATATCACAAAATACTATATGTTTACAAAAATACAGGCTTCTGATTGGCTTAAGTAAGCCATCGTCATTGCATAACGTAGCTGAATTCCGCTATAATGTCAGCATGGTTATGAATTTTTTGCAGCTAGATGACAAGGATAACAGTCAGAAAAATCAATGAAGTGGACGGAACGATATTTCATCAGACCATTGGAAGGGGTTGAATTTTATCGCTATTTTAGGTTTTAATCAATTTTCTTGTTATCTATAATGAGCTAAAAAATTTAAATACCTCCATAAAGTTCAGTTCTTTATGATTGAAGTAGTGAAGCAGAGGGCGCCCCATCTAGATAAAGTCTAGTCCTATATTTAAGGATGATATTTCAGCTGTTCCTTATTTAAGCTTTTCCAGCAATTATTTCTAGTATAATTAGCCCAATACAGCTCACACAAGAGAACAATGATTGTTGTGTTTCCTCTTAATATAGTGTGTATAATATGTACAGGGAATTTTTTTCCCTCCAGATTTGAGTGGCAACCCCTGCTATTCAAATTTCCATATGTGAGCTTCTTTTTTTTCAAGATTCTCTCATTTTTGGAAATGTTTATGAGGCAAGTTTTTAATAAAATTCTGTAAATGATTCTACTTTAAAAGAAAAAAATTGACAGACCCAATGTGCAATATTTTGCTGGAAGAAAACATCTTGAATGTAAAATCTGAAAATGTATAAATATTTTGGTTATCAGGGTTGCAACTCCACAGGGAAAATTCAGGGAATTTAAAAATCACCTATGAAAACAGAGAAAATGCAGGGAATTTTGAGTTTTACTTTAGAAACTGGAAAAAATACTGGGAGTTTCTTATTTTCATCTTTTTAAAAAATGGTAATCACTCGTAAACGTGGGGTGTTTAACGATGGTCATCAGCTATATTAAACTATTTCATTTACATTATTTAATTATGTTTGGCTGTTCCTTAGTATAGTTTGCCCAATACAAGATCATTGCGTGTTTCCTTTTAATGTGTATAATATGTACAGGGAATTCCAAATTTGAGTGTCAAACCCTCTGTATGTAAAGAAATTCTGCCTAAGATGAAAAATGTATTCTGTAAATCTCAATCCTTAAGGAATGGACAGAATTTGTATAAAATTAAAAATGTGAAAATTGTGTCATGATGATCACATTATTACCTAACTGCATGTTTGTTTTTGTAGAGGATTTAATATATTTGTAAATATGTACAAACTAACTGTGTAAAAAATAAATAAATTGAAATATTGATTGAGTTTAAAAACAGTTTTCTCTTTGGATGCTTTGTTTCACTGTGAAAGAGAAAAACAAAATCATTTTTTAAATGAATTGTTCTTTTTACATTCTTATCCAGTTATTCTCAACGTTCTTTTTTTTTTTTTTTTTTTCCCCTCGCTTTTAACGATTTAGAAATTTGAGGGCATGCAGAGAAAAATTATTTATATTTGTTAATTCTTTGTACACTTATCTGGCCAAAAGTATCCTGAGGCACACATTAACCCCAGACGATCGGTTCATTTTCAAGAAAACGGTCATAAAAGTGTCCATTTTGCCAAATACGCGTATTTGATGAGTGCTGACATCTAGTTTAAAATAAACTAACTATCTACAATTACCTTAAAAATACTGCCATCTGGTGAGTAAAATGAGAAAATGTTTTCTGGGCAAAAGAAATTAATTAGTTTTATTCCTACTGTTGCATTACTACTGAACTCTCCAGCCCGGAAATTTCACGAGAGCGAGAAATAGAGGGTGAAACCTCACCCAGTCATTTTCATGGAAGCGAGAAGGAGGGTGTTAATGGACTTACGTGACACTACTTTTTAACGAAGCTTTTAAAAAAATTTAAATCCTTTTAGGATGAAAGGTTTGAAACTGCACTATTTTTGCTTTATTGAAAAAAGTTTTAAGACTCTAAAAAGAAAGACACAAGGTTACATGCTTTGTGGGATGTACACTATCTTGCCAAAAGTGTCCGGACACCCAGTAGTCATAGATGAAGTCCATCACAGCTGAAATGAAGCAGTGAGTGAATCATCCAAAAAGTGTGTTCTACTCCCTAGAGCAGGGATGGCGAACCAATGGGCCACCGATCAAATTTATTATTACACTGTGAATTGTTATTACTCAAATGCTATTACACTATGAAGCATATGTAACAATTAAATTAAAATGCACAAAAAGCACGCAAAATAAACAATTATCATGAAAAAAATTAACAATTTATGCTAAAAAAGCAATTAATAACCATAAAAAACAAGCTAACAATAAATAACTAGCAAAAAACAGTCCTGCTTAAACTAACATACAATCTAATATAAGTTATTTGTCATCTGATTTGCAACAACAGATGATGTCACATTGATGTTACTTTAAGTTGAATTACGCGTATAACTGAGACATGGCAAAATATATTTTTTTTCAATGTAATTAAAAAGTTTTGAGTTGATAGTATTTAGTATTATTATTTTCCCAATAATCACGAAGGCAAAATTGTTTGACGGCACGTCTATGACCTCATTAACCAATTTTTTGAAGAAAAAAATGGTACATTGGTGTATAAAGGTTCGCCACCCCTGCCCTACAGTGAAATGCGCTATTCTTGTTTCCATAAGCATTTTATGTTTCAGACACAATTCTTTTTATCCATTAACGCATTATTTTAAGTACTAAGCTGATACTTTTCGAAATAAATAGTTTCACCGAGGCTCTTTATCGCATTACAGAAGTACATTTTAAAATAAATGTTCTTGAATGAAAGGAACAATAAATATTTTATGAAGGTAGGAATTCTATTTAGAGCTGCACAATGGGAAACATCCATCGCCATTTTGATCCCTGCTTTGGTAGCACTTTAAGAATTAGGTTTTAAAAAAAAGGAATATACGAATTAGGTGTCGCAAGCTACTATTTAAGAGCGGGAAGGAAAAAAAACTGTATGGAAGTGTTAAGGTAAACGGAACAGTTTTTGATTTCATTTTATAACCATCGTTGAACATTCGACCCATTTTTTGAACTACTCTGTAGCCTTGTCATTTTGAACTCAATCTAGAAAAAGCAAGGGGATAAAGAATTTGGACCTTCTTGGTGGAACTAACTCGTATTTGCGTTACATAGAGAGGAAAACCACCTTAAATTCCCACGGTTAGCCTGACGGCCTATGAGCCGTCTACCACTGAAAATATTTTACGTCGGTACGAGCCGGGTGCCGAAATTGTGTCGACATGCCACAGCTGGGATTCGAACCCAGATCACCTCATTGGGAGGCGAGTGCTCTATCCCCATGAGCCACCATGGTTCCACACTTTACTCACTGATTTAAAATGATTTATACCATCGTGGCATTTAAATAATTTATCATTAAGCAAAATAAAATTTAAAAAATAATTGAAACAAGCGTGGTAAATTTGAAAACATCCAACAGAAGGTAAATTTTTATAAGTTTAATTAAGAAAAATAATATACTTAATCCCTATTATTAAATATTTCTGAAAATACTTCATTTTCTAAAAATATTTTGAAAATATGGAAACTTTTTTGAAGAAAATCGAAAAATAGGATTTTAGATAGAATTCAAAAATTTCATTTATTGCAAGGTCTTTAATAATGGAATACTTTTTGGTTTGTTTCATCAGGTAAACTCAAGGAACAACATAGATGGCATTTTAGCACAAGGTCACATCTAAACCCATGTCTCTTGTTTATAGTCACCCTTTTGTGACATTTCTATGAGACTAAATATTTTAAAAGCAACGGTAATTGAAATTTTAAAGAAAAGCAAAAGTTTTTTTTGAAGGTAAAATTAATGGAGAAATTTGTTTGTGATAACTATTGACTAGAATGCGTTGGCTTGTTTGATTAATAGCTGAATGCCGAATGCATCATGTTTGTTTAATATTCTTAAAGAATCTTGTTTCGCTTAATCTAATAACGTACTCACGGCCGGATTATCCTATAGGCACACTAGGCACGTGCCTAGGGCCTACGAAATTCAGGGGCCTACGAAAAACTTGGGAGAAAAAAATTTATTGACCAAAATAATTTAGCTTTAAAAACAACAAGTGTATTTTGCACAAAATTATGAAGATACAAATAAAAATATAATATTTTTCGGTAATAAATTATTTTGCAGAATCTTATGATCTAATATATTACTTTTTTGCGATTTTTGGATTCAACGAAATCTTGTATTATGCTGTCGAATTCCAAACTACGCAAAATGTCGTATTCAATAGACATAAGTGCGAGAGATGCCAAACGATCTTGATTCATTGTTGAACGCAAATAATTTTTTATAAATTTTAATCTGGAGNCCCTTCAGTGATATCTGGTGGATCCCATGCATTTCACGAAAAATGGGGTGTTTGCTACGTAATCATTCACGCGGACTTCATGTCGTACCCACGTTATGACTTGCGCATACACGCACACTTGAAACCGAAACCCGAGTGCTCCAATTCGGATGGAGAATATCAGATCCTTATGAAATGTTTTTCTTTTTAATTTTATTATTGTTTATTTTATTTTACTTCTAACACTTTTTTGACGTAGGGGGTACGGGTACTTTTGTTCTGAGTTTAGGGTCAAGATGAATTCACTCAATGATGTGGGAAAGTACTGATTGTTTCGATTTACGTCTGTTTCTTTTTGGGTTTTTCTTAACGCTAAAACTGTTTATAAAAAGTTTTTGTTTTTCAATGATATCACTGATTGAATATGAATTTTTTGAGTGCTTGAAAAGTTTTTAAAAAGTGCTTATTTTTTATTCAAGGATTTGGCTACGCACCCTGTTATCGAAAAGGGCATGAAATAATAGTAAATAAATAAAATGCATTGTTTTAACTTTATTGCTTCGGTATATACTTGCTGTTTAATATTGATTATTTACTTTTCTATTTTCTACCCTGTGCGAATATTCATCTAGAACAGGGATTTCCATGAGGCCGGGAGTCGCAATTTTATATAGGACTCCTTTTTTTATGTTTGAAGGAACATTAAATATTAGTATCAGATACGCATATGCTAAATTATATTCACCAAAAAGAAAAAAAAGCAACATACACGATTATTTTTGTATTTGAATAAATATTTTCTCTGATGCAAAACCTGAGAAATAATTTTTTTTGCACCGTTGGTATGTTAAATTTCACAGAAACGAATAAATTAAGTTTTTTTTTTTAACGAAAGAAAAGTATTTTAAACCAATAAAATTGTCCGCAAAAAAAAAATGACAACTAATATATTTTAGTTCGCGAGCCGGGCTGCCAGTTGGTAACCACTGAGCTAGAAGATAAATAAAAATTTTGAACCGGAATGTTTTTCCGGTTAATGCAGAAGTAGCTGTGCAGTGTTAAGGTGTGATTCAAAATGGAAGCTGTAAATACAATTATTACATTAATAGCGTTAAAAAATAAAATTGAGTTGTGCAGGGCTTAATCTTAAAAAATAGTAACTTTTATTCACTGTTTTTAAGTCACCCCATCTCACTTTTTTAAATTTTCATTTCAATCAAAAGAAAGATTTCCCCAGTGTTGCCAGATTGGGCTACTTTTAAAAGTCCCGCTACTGAAAATCGAATTTGGGCTACTCATTATTTTTCAAGAACTACAAATCTTAAAAATGGGCTACGTTTTTTTCTTACAGAAATATTTTTTTTAAAATTTTTATCCCTTCCCATTATAAAATGATTCCGAAAAGTGTGCAGTTTCTTTACCTTTTTTAAAAATAAAAATGTCTGTTGTTGAAAATGTATCTGCTTCAGTTGTGGATTCATGATTTGTTTTGCCGCTGGGAATCTATTATCTTTCCATACCTATGTTTCAAATCGTGAAATCGAAAGAATATATAGGTGATTCTTTGGAAACATGACAATTCGGGGGAAAAAAATTTCTTCAAATTTAAAGTCTTCCAAAAAAAAAATTTTTTTTTTACATATTAGTTACATTTATCTTTGTGCATCTTTTACATCATTTTTTTTTTTTGTACATTTATCTTTGTAATGTATTAAAGTACATCTTACAGACAGCAGTGTAGTTTATTGACATTTTCTCAAGAAAAAAATTAAATAGAAATTCACCAAATTTTGAATGCCAGGAAAATGACACATTAGCTTAGAAGTTAAGAAAACAGTCGTTTTAAGGTAATAGTAAGTAACACAACTTAAAAAACTCAAAAAAGACAAATTTGAGAAGTTAATTTTAACTTTTTTATGTAAATAAAATCCAAAATAATTATTGTGAAAAATTTTAATT